GAGGATATAACTTGATGGTAGAGCACTTGCTTAGAATGTGTGAGGCCCTGGGTTTAATCCCCAGTACCACAAAAAAAAAAAAAAAAAAAAAAAGAAAGAAAGAAAGAAAGAAAAAGTAGAGGTAAAGGAAGGAGGTGTTATTAATAATGTTAGGACTCTAGAGTCATATTTGGTTCATATGCCACTGTATAACTGAAAGCCATATAACCTCTTTGAACCCTGAGATTCTGTTAGAAGAAACTGCATCTACTGAAAGTATTACCTGTACAGTTAGCATTGTGTGAGCATGTACAACAGGCAATACAGCACCTGTATAAATACAGAATGAGTCCTTGACAAACTTCCAGCTTGTCAGAGCAAACCTCTCTGAAGAGTATTACTTTCCAATGTGGCACAAGTTAGAGATTTCCAAAACATACCAAATTATTATTTCTTGTAGTTTGAGCCTGAATTTGACCATGTTTTTTACATATTAGGGACTATATATTTTAATTAGTGACATTTATGGGGTTTTTTTAATTGTCTTTTATATGTAGATGAACGCAGTAACTCTATTTTATTTATTTATTTTTATGTGGTTCTGAGGATCGAACACAGTGCCTCACATGTCCTTGGCAAGTGCTCTACCATTGAACCACAACCCCAGCCTGATATGTTTTTATATAGGTGTATTTTTTTTCTACTACTCATCAGTCAACTTTATCTTAAAATGAAATAGTTGAGGTCATTTACTTTAGTCCTTGATTACTTATTCTCTTTAAGAAATTTGTACATGTGCTTCAAGTTCAATAGGTAACATTTTAAGAATTTTTTAAAAAAGATTGTAACCATGTTAAGTGCTTGACAGAACCTCTAAGATTTGTGAATTTTGCTTTTCTCTAAATATTTTCTCAGTTCCGTTGTAAATTACCTAAACCAGTTTGGGAACCAAGGCAGGCCTATTGGAGTGTCATAATTTTCAGTTAATTCGCAATTCTAGTGCTACAGGAATACTTAAAATAAATGTGATTGCTTTTGTCCTTCCTGATGGAAGATAATGGTGCTGGTAACATTCTTGGTAACCTGGAAGATGGGGTGGGTACATATCCCTTCTTCATTATGTACATTTAAGCCTGAATTTTCTATGTGTCAGAATTATCAGACTCCATGTAACATTAATATCCTTGCTAGGAAGTAAGCTGTGACTATAAGATAAATTATCTTTTTCTCTTCTAGTTGAAGCTAAAATGACGGAAGCTGCAGAGTCTGCAGTTGGGCCCTGTAATGGTTCTACTCATGTTGAACCCTTTAATGATTCTACTCACATTTCTCTGCAAGAAGAAAACCAGTCTTCTGTCACTCATTGCCTCCCTGACAATTCTACGATTACTGAAGAAGGCTTATTTAGCCAAAAAAGTTTCCTTGTTTTGGGTTTTAGTAGTGAAAATGAATGTAATATTGGAAATATCATAAGAGAACATGCTGGAAAGATTATATCCCTTCCGAGCAGAATTGTGGCTGATTATGCTGTGGTTCCTCTGCTGGGATGTAAAGTAGAAGCAACTGTGGGAGAAGTGGTCACAAATACATGGCTGGTAAGAAAACACTTCACAACTGAAACATGATATTGAAGGATATTTGAATGCTATTTATTCTTAAAGCACTTAGTTTTGACTACTGTCTGAATGTTGCTTTTAGCCAGGGGAAATTGTAAAATAGGAAAATATGCAAGTGTCTTGGTTCTAATTCTGGTAGAGTAGAGGTTACTGTTCTAGGGCCTCAGTAGCAACATTGCTTCACAGGAGGACACTCCTGGTTAGCTCTCTCATACAGTTTATCTTCTCTTAACAACCAGAGCCTGACATGCACTTTCTAAACTTCTCTAGAATTAAGAGAATTCTAATGTGAAGGAAGGCTATTTAAGGCAACTTTCAGTAACTCCAATAATAAATCTTACTGATTTTAGATATTTGAATATGATTAATTGATGTCTAAATKTCTTTAAATGGTATTTGAAATGAATTGAGAATGAACATATCCAGGTTTGTATTAAAGTAAAATTTTTTGTGTTTAAACTAAAATTACTGCTGCTATAACTGAACCAGTGTTAACCACTGGTTTCTTATTTCAGGTTGGTTTTCTTGTTTCTCTTGTCTTAAAAGGTTACTTGTATAGACTATCAGACTTTAATTGATCCAAGGTCAAATCCTCTCTTCACACCAGTCCCAGTAATGTCAGGAGTGACTCCTTTAGAGGATTGTGTTATTTCATTCAGCCAGTGTGTTGGAGCAGAAAAAGATTCTTTGATATTCTTAGCAAATCACCTTGGAGCAAGGTATGTAACATTTTCAGTGTAACTGCTATCGTGGTATATCTTGTCATTTGTTTTGACTTACTGGAAGGCATTCTAATTAAAATTTGGCCACGCATTTTACTTGCATTTGTGGGGTGGGTGGTGTATCTTTGTGATGGCTCAAGGTGGAGATGGTACTTGATGGGTGTTTGGCAAACCCGTTTGAAGACTATAGGCATTAATGCTTTCCTTGCTTAGCCACCAAGAAAGGGAGTATTTAAGACTGATTCATGGGCCATTATTGAGTAGTCCTTGTCTAAGCATTATACACCTTTCCGTGTGTCATATGGGTGATTTATTATTTTTTTCAGTACATTTGTCTTTTCAGCCAGAAATGCAAATGGTAAGCAGGAGTAATGAGTACTTAGAGGGACGAGAAATGAATTTAAGTTACTTCCAAAATCCATATTAGCCCAATCCCTAATTGATCATTAGATGATGATTGTTTAAAATAGAAATATCAAACCATTTTATCAGTAAATGTAAATTAACTAAACTTTATGTTAAAAGAACACTATTTTAKTAGATCATAAGGCAACTATACTTCTAAAGACATCTAAAGCAAACTGGTTCAGACTTTGGTTGGGGGGAGATGACAAGCAAAGGTACAGAAATTCAAACAAAAGGAGGAGAAGGGAGTGGCAATTTTACAATCAGGTTCAAATTCAAATCAGAATGCATTAAACAAGAACAGTGCTATTGACACTAAAGATAAAATGTCTGGAGCATCATTAATCATAAGACAGAACCAACAGGAAGCTTGAGGTGGAATTAACAGAAACATTTGTAGTCTTTAATTCTCATGTTTTACTTCATGACATGTCAAATAGACAATATGAGGAAAGACATAGACTTAAATAGCGTAGTTAATTATATATCTACCATGAACATAGCATGTAAGAACAAAATTGACATTTTGAATATTGATCTTAATTATGTTAATTGAAACTTTTCTGTCCATTGCTTTGAGTATTGAACATACCTGTAAGTCCCGTGGAGCACTTGTCAATATTGCTTGTAAGACAAATTTACCACTTCATTGCCTCAGTAAATTCCCTAAAGTAGGAAGACTACAGACTGCATTTTCTTATCACAGTGCAAAGAAAAACTAGAAGTGAATAGCAAAAATAGAAAATTGAGCTGGGTGCAGTGGGACACACCTGTAATCCCAGCAACTCAGGATGCTGAGTTCAAAGCCAGTTTTAGCAAATTAGTGAGGCAGTTATCAACTCAGTGAGACCCCTACTCTAAATAAAATACAAAAATAAAGGGCTAGTGATATGGCTTGGTGGTTACGTGTGTGTGTGTGTGTGTGTGTGTGTGTGTGTGTGTGTGTGTGTCCCCGTGGTGATTACAGGCATGTCCCACCGCACCTTACTTGATTGTAATCTTAAAGTGCTATTTCCCCACTAAAAGAAAGCTTGGAGAAATGGTTAACTCCAGATCTGGGAGAAAAAAATGTGTGTATAAATCTAGAACATTTTTTCATTCAGATAGCAAAAACATTATTAAAGATAACAAGAAGGATAATATTCAGAGTACCTCCATTGACCAAAATAGGATTATGTAAGTATCATTAAAGATAATAGCATGCAGAGAATGCATGCGTGGCTTCATAATGGTACTAAAGAATCTAAGGTAATTGACCTCTTTAAAATGCTAGGGAAGCAGCCCCTTGTTCCGAAAACTGGCAAGGGGAAAGAATCAGCTATTTATCCTGCTTTTCCTATATAGTCAACATTGGGAACATGTGAGTGGATAAGGCAAAGTTTCCTTTTTTTAGAAATACTCAACAAATGGAGAAGGAATGATGGAATTATGACCCCAAGTGAATGAAAGAATCTATGCGTTGGACATCCAGAGTTACACAGCAAAGAGATAGCCAGACATGTGCCTCCTGATGTGTCAAGAAAGCACAAGCAACTTGAAGTAGTCTTGCCAAAATAATCAAACCTCAATCCAATAATGCTGCTCACTTGAACTGCTGATTTATAGGAAATACAGGAGAGTAACATGTTAAATTGTACCACAGTAAAAATCAGCAAAATCTAATCTTTACAGTATAAAGATTCCAGTGTCTTCAACTAATACATACTAAGGGGTGAAGAARGAAGGGAGGATCCTGTAAGCTAAGACATAAAAAACTAAATATACAGTTTCAGGATTCTTATATGATTAAAGAAAGGTAAAGAGGTGATGATCATAAATGTCCAAATAGTGGCTACTATTAAGAGGTGAGGAAAGAGGGTTGTATGGCACACTGGAGAAATTCAGGGATAGACTGCAGGATTCTGTCTTCTGAYATGGATGGTGGATATAAGGGTTTGTACTTTAAAATATTTCATTGAGCTGTGTATGTATATATATGTATATGTATTTTTCTATGATCTATTTGAATTAAGCAATAAAAAGTGTTTTTTAAAAACAGATTACAGAAAATAACAATAACAAACATGACAACAGACTCCATTGGATACAGCTAAAGCAGTGCTCAGAGAAAAGTTCAGTAAATGGCTATGCAGAAAATTAGTATACAGAAATCAGTGACCTTTATTTAAATAAACAAACAGTTAGAAGAGCTAATGGAAAAAAGGCAAGATTAACATAAAACTTGAAAGAGCTTATAAGATGCCCTTGAGGGAAACAAAATAGTCTGGAATAGTAAGGAAAGATCTACATGTCCTTGGAAAGGAAGACTAATATTCATAAGATTTGTTATCTTCTATGCTAATGTGTAAATTTAACATGATCCCAATAAAAGTACAGTAATTCTCTCTTGTCCTTGAGGGAAACATTCCAGGATCCCCAGTGAATGCCTGAAACTATGATAGTACAAAAACCTATGTTATTTCCTATACAGAATATCTGTGATTAAGGTTAATGTATGATTTAGGGAAGAGATGAACAATAATAAGAAAATAGAACAAACATAACAACATATCATAATTAAGATTACGTCAGTGTGGTTTCTCACATGTGAACATAATTGCAATTCCACCGAAGTTCATCTGGTAACTGATGTGACTGCTAAGTGACTAATGGTCAGATGCTGGACAAAGGGATGATTCATGCTCTGGGTGGGACAGAGTGAGGTAGTATGAGATTTTATCATGCTTTCAAAATGGTATACAATTTAAAATGTATGGATTGTTAATTTCTGGAGTTTTCCATGTAATATGTTCAGGTTGCTGTTGACTAGGGCACTAGGGCACTAAGCAAACTAATTCTAAAAATCTTATGAAAAGATGAATAAGCAAGAAAGTAAAAAATTCTGAAATAGAAAAATTGGGGCTAGCCCTAACAGTTATTAAACTATATTTTGTAATATCTCACTAAATAACAGCATAGTTCTAAGTAGCAAAAATCTCAGTGAATTAACAAGACTAGCAATAGATCTAACATAACTAGCAATTTATGATAAAAGTGAAATTCAAATTATTAAGGAAGAGATGACTTCTTTAGTAAATGGGATTCAATAAATTTGGAGCCATATTTCACATAAAAATAATGGATCACTGAGTTAAAGTAAAAAATAGAACCATAAAAGTACTAGGAAAAATTTGGGAGATTAAAAAATCTTAAAAGTCAATAAATAGAGCATAAAGATTCAGGTCAGAAAAAAACCGAATCATTTCTATTTCAAATGATAGACCTCTGTTTCTTCTCCTTGTTCCCTGTTTAATATTTTATTATCTTGATCTACTCGCTCAGATTCTTATTTTTTTCCATGTCTCTAAAATATTGCTAATTGATAAATATGGAGAAAATCAATTGAGATTATGTATAAAAATGCTTTGGGAAGTTATAGTGGATATAAAGAAATAGTGTTATTGGGGCTAGGATTGTGGCTTAGTGGTGGAGTGCTCGCCTGGCACGGGCGGGACCCGGGTTCGTTCCTCARCAACACATAAAAATAAAGGCATTGTGTTGTGTCCATCTACACCTAAAAAATAAATATTTAAAAGAAAAAGAAATAGTGTTATTAATAGTTTACTCCTGTTATTTGTTCTGTGTATCCTTTTAGAATGAAAGGACGGGTGGGTAATGACTAAGGAGATAATTTTTCTATCCTTTGAAAGTCTAATTTGCTTATGATTTTTTAAAAGTTTTTAATTATTGTAATAGTACATTTTTATCCTAGAATTAGCACTTGTGAGGGAATTAGCTTAATTTAAAATAGAAAAGGCTAACTTTAGTCAGTGTGTATTTTCTTAAACCTACATGAACGCCAACAATACTGTTGTATTAGAGATTTGTTCTTAGTTTGTTGACTTATTATGAGTATGACCATTTGCTTTTCTTTAAATGTAAATTTCAGTGTTCAAGAATTCTTTGTTCGCAAATCCAATGCAAAGAAAGGCATGTTTGCCAGTACACATCTTATATTAAAAGAGCCTGTTGGTTCTAAATATGAAGCTGCAAAGAAGTGGAATTTGCCAGCAGTCACTATAGCTTGGCTTTTGGAGACTGCTAGAATGGGAAAGAGAGCAGATGAAAGCCACTTTCTGATTGAAAATTCACCTGAAGAAGGTTAATACTTTTATTCTCTCTATATGTATACATATATATGCTTTTATTTTTTTCTCTGTATGTACATATATATGCACATATGTGTTTGTATGTGTGTGTGTATATATACATGTGTGTATATGTACACACATATATGTGTATTTTACAACTTGATGGTTTCTAGGATATGAATGTTCCAAAGCTGCTTTTAAGGAAGACCATTTCTACTTTTCATGTTGAAGAATGATGCAGTGAGGCAGGGGTGGGAGGACACAGCCTCTTCATGGCGGCATCCCTGGACGAACTTCAGGAACAAATTGGCAGCTTGGGTACCTCTCAGACCCATTGTTTATTTACCCAGACATACAGGAAACTTACAGCTGAGGCAAAAATGAGTTTAGGTCATATGAAAATTTCATTAAGGACTTTCTAAAAACTTGAGTACATGTAACTTGGATTTTCTTTTTATTCTACCACTCACTGGTTTGATAACTCATTGATATTCTTGGCAAGTGGGCTATTGAAACCATTTTAATATCTAACAAGATGAAATAAGAAATCTGTTTTCATTAATTATTTGTTTTCAACTAGTGTGCCTGTCTAACTCATGTGGTTTACTACATCATCTGGTTTGCTTTTTGGAAAGTAAACTACCTGAGTCTTAACATGAAAAAAGGAATCACTTCTGGTGTACCTCTTTAGAGGAAAAAGGGGGATATTGGGTAGCTCATATTTGTATCTTTTCTAGAACAAAGATTGGAAACTAAAATAACAAATGGGGAGAATCCAAATCCACATACTCCTACACATCCTTGTACACATGTGGAAACTCACAGAAGAACAGCCATTACACCGCTGGATATGAACCGCTTTCAGAGCAAAGCTTTCCATGCTGTGATCTCACAACATGCTGGGCAGCTCTCGGCCTCACCAGCAGTAGAACAGCCACTGCAGAAGGAGCCCTCATTGCACCTGGACACACCATCAAARTTTTTGTCCAAAGACAAACTCTTCAAGCCTTCTTTTGATGTAAAGGTAAGGTGTAAAGGAAGTGGTCTCCAAGTTACCAGTATTATAGTTCRTGAAGGTCCAAATTCTATATCACTTCTGAAGTTTGCAGTAGTAAGTTTTCCAGAACATAGTATTGAATCCTAATATATACCTAGGTGGCAGGTATAGAGCCATGAGGTGAAACTAGGACATCAGGTTCAAGTCTCAGATCTCTCGCTCCAGGCAGATCATTGAGCCTATCTGAGTTTCATTTTTTCTTTTCATACAAAGAGGATAATAGCACTTGCTCTGAAAATCCACAGGTTTATTTTAAGGATCAATTGAAATAGTATGATGAAATGATTTTTATAAACTACAATAATGTAAATATATGCTACTTTGTGTATTGTGCACTAGTGCACCCAAGGCTTGGATTTTCCAAATGTCTGCAGTATCACCTTTTAGCTGGTTTCTTTAGAGGAGATAAACTAAGTCTGTTTCTTTGATCTGAACAGGGTAGTCTGGTTCTCTTTTTAAGAACTTCATTTGGAAATCAAAGGCTAATATAACCTTTTCGAATAGTTTCTTTTTATTTTCCAAAGATAATTTTCTTCATTTTTCCTTTAGTAGTTTTGGCCTTTCAAGTGGCTGTTCAAAGTATTGCCTGTGGTTTCTTTTGGGGGTGGGGTGGGGGAGGTACCAGAAATTGAACCCAGGGACTCTGCAGTGAGCCACATCCCCAGCCCTATTTTGTGTTTTATTTAGAGACAGGGTCTCAGTGAGTTGCTTAGTACCTTACTTTTTGCTGAGGCTGCTTTGAACTTGAAATGCTCCTGACTCAGCCTCCTGAGCCGCTGGGATTATAGGTGTGCAACATCGTGCCTGGCCTTATGGTTTTTTTATCCAGGAAGTTTTGCAAAATATTATACTCATTCATCTCTTGCTGTTTTGCTCAAAAGGAATGAATAAGCTRCATTTTAATAATTTTTTGCTTAGTGTGTTTCAAAGTAGATCGTTCATGTTTGAGAATTTATTTTTCAAACATGAACAGTTTAAATTTTATGATAGGGCTGGGGATGTGGCTCAAGCGGTAGCACGCTCGCCTGGCATGCRTGCGGCCCGGGTTCGATCCTCAGCACCACATACCAACAAAGATGTTGTGTCCGCCGAGAACTAAAAAATAAATATTAAAAATTCTCTCTCTCTCCTCTCTCACTCTCTCTTTAAAAATAAATAAATAAATAAATAAATAAATTTTATAATATTCTCCAAACTAATTTATATCTTTATCTTGGATCAGTTTCAATGATCCACATGGGAAAAAAAAGTCTAACAGCAGACTTAAAATCTTAAGCTTTCATGTGAAATCTCCTCTAAAGTAATATTTTGTAAGTTATAAATTATGATTATACTCTTCTTGTACCTTAAGAAATGGAGGGAAATTACTGTCTCGGGAACTGTGAGGTCTAGGTTAGGTCTCTTCTTTGCCTCTTGTTGCCTTTACAGCACGTTAATCTCTTTGGGCTTCATTATTCCTGCCTGTAAAATAATGGAGTGAATCCAGGTAATCTCCACAGTCTCTCAGCTCACAGACCTTTTGAAGACTAAATGAAATAATATTAGAAGGCAAGAAAATAATCAAAATTCTTTTATAGGTTCCTTGTAGTAAAAGCTTTGTAGTTCTGAAATAGACTTAAAATGGTACAAAACACAAGAGTTTTCATTGTTTAGACCCATAGTTTATTTAGCAGTATTTCCTCTTCTCTTTTCCTTTTTTGGTGATACATAAACTAAAGAAATGGATTACATGCATTGCTTTGCCAAACTGATGTAATACATATATTGAATTCTTGACTCAAAACACAAAAAGGGCCTATGGAATGATCACAAACAAGAAAACGGACATTTATCAGTCCTCACAGACAGCAAAACAAAAGACCCACCTCTTATTTAAACTTAATTGTTGAGTTGATATACATCCAAAATACATAGTAATCTATTGCTAAGTGAAATACCAGTGCTAACAATGGGGAAGTTTCCATCCATGTTCAAATACATACCCTTGACAACACCACAGAACATTCCTCATGCTCCCTTCCCACTGCTGCTTCCTTGCCAGAGGTAGCATTCCTGGCTTTTCACACTATAGTTGTATTATGCTTGTTTTCACTTTTAAATAAGTGGCATGGTAGCATGTATTCTTTTCAGTCTGTTTTATTGTTTTTGTTCATCCTCCATTTAGGAGATTTGTCCATGCTGTTGGTGTAGCTGTAGTTTGTTTATTTAGTCCATTGTGTGACCATGCACAATTTACATTTCCAGCATACTGCTAATGAAGAGTAGGTGATTACTAGGTTTTTCCAAAATAATAATTTGTAATATCTTGCAAAATGATGTTATTGTGAACATTTGTGTGTGTGTGTGTGTGTGTGTGTGTGTGTGTGTGTGTGTGTGTGTGTTATTTGGTATATACCTAGAAGTAAAGTTGCTGGGCTACATTTCAGTTTTAGTAGAAAATGACAAACTGCCAAAGTGGTTTTACCAGATAATCCTTTCACCAGTGGGGTATTGCCAGTATTCAGTATAGCTCATTCTTGCAAATACCTAATATCATCAATTGTTTTGTTTTCCAGCTTTTTACTTGGAAATAATTTCTAATTTTACAGAAGTTAAAATAGCACAAAAAGTACATGTATTCTACTAACATGTAGTATTTTGAATGTATATAAAGTCTTTTAATTTCCAGATGAAAGGACTTACTTTGCTTGATCTTTTTTGGGGGAGAGGGGGTGGTGCTGGGGATTGAACTAAGGGATACTTTATCACTGAGCTATGTCCCTAGCCCTTTTATATTTTTCTTTTGAGACAAGCTCTAAGTTGCTGAGGCTTTCCTTGAACTTGCGATCCTCTTGCCTTAGCCTCCCTAGTCACTGGGGTTACAGGCTTGTGTCACTGTCCCCTACTTAATTGCTAGTTCTTTTACATTGTGTTCAGAGTAGTGTTTGTAATATTTTATTTCACAGAACTTACTCTGGTATTTGTGCTCTGATGTTTGATAGATTTTTGAGAAGATGGTACATTCTCTATGTAAAGATACGGTGTTTGATACATATCATATATATCCAGAGATCTAAATTATTGATTATATTGTTTAAATCTTTTATTTCCTTTCCTATTTGTTCATTTCATACACAGAAATGTTTTCAAGTTTCTTATATTTTTGTTTCTTTTGGAATCTCATCTGGTTTTTGTTTAATTTTTTTATTTTAAAAAAATATTTTTTAGAAGTAGTTGGACACAATACCTTTATTTTGTTTTTATTTTTATGTGGTGCTGAGGATTGACCCAGGGCCTCCCATGTGCTAGACGAGAACTCTACCAATGAGCCACAATCCCGGCCCCTGGTTTTGTTTTAAATAAATAGTTGCTGTATTTTTTGATACATAGAATTCATAAATTATGTTAGTTGGAATGTGGAATGTGCCTTTCAATATTATAGAAATCAACTTTGATATTAGGATTTCATTCCCTGTTCCCTTTTTACATTTGCCTCATAAATAAATATGCATTTTTAAATTTTTAGCCTTTTTGGATTGCTTGCATTTTAAGTATATCCTCTCTGACTTAGTTGGGTTTTGCTTTATGGCCAATTTAAAAATCTTCTAATTAGGTAAGTTAAGCCTATTCATGTTCAAGATGACTAACTTGATCTTAGTTGTCATAATTCGATGTAATTTATGATTATGCATAYATATTATGTGTCTTTGCTTAGCATGACCTCTCTATTTTTCCTTTTGGTAGATTTTTTTCTTCTTCTCCTGGTTATTTTTATATTAATACCTTATAAAGTACCCTTAAGTCACCCTTTTCTTTAATTATTTGTCAGTTTTGGGGGGGATGAGTACTGGGGATTGAATTTGGGCACTCAACCACTAAGCCACATCCCCATCCCCAGCCCTATTTTGTAATTTATTTAGAGACAGGATCTCACTGAGTTGCTYACTGCCTCACTCTTTTACTGAGGCTGGCTTTGAACTCACTATCCTTCTGCCTCAGCCTCCCAAGCTACTGGGATCTTAGGCGTGCGCTGTCTTATTTGTCAGTTTTCAATTGTGTCTTGACTCCCACTTGTTGCCTCTAGCAGTGATCTTATTCTTCTTTTCCCCTAGCTCTGTTCTTTTTTGTTGCATTTTTCTACTCTGTCAGAAAATAAAGTGTTTATGTGTTCTTCAACCCATGGACCTCATGGTTGTTGGGTCCTAATTCTACATTCAAATATATGAAATGCTTACTGTCCTTTATGAAGTCTTCCATCATCTTTTGGTAGGATGAAGTTCATTCTCTAGTAGATCTCTCAAGATTGGCACATGTGCACAATATTCCTTATGTTCGGCATGTTTACAGGTTCTGCTATGGCCTTAATTCTTCAACAGATTGCTTGCTTTGGATGTACCATTCTTGGTTTGCAACTTTTTCTGGAGTTTCCTGTACATGTTCCTCTACTACTGTCCTGCTTTGTMTGTGTCAACAAAATCCATTTTGAAAAAACTACGTATCATGAAAAAACTACGTATCGTGTCTTTAGAGATATTAGACAAAATTTTCAGAACCTGTTTTGTGTCACTTATAATAGTGACTATGTATCTTTTTGCCTAGAAGCCATATGAATTTTTCTTTTATCTTCAAAGTCTATTGGTTACAAGAATATGTCTCCATATTAATTAATTTCAATCAGTTCTTCCCGGGATGTGGTAGGTTTTCAAATGTTTAGAACTTGGTTCCTTCAAATTTTTGGTCTGAGAGTTTAGAAGAATGGAGCTACCTATCAACTGAGTGAGTAAAATAGGTTGAAACTGGCATCTAAACATTCTGAGTTCACATTTAGACACCCGAAATTTGAGATACTTGTAGATATCCAAGAACTGTTTTCAGGGCAATTCCATATAGAGCCTGAGGTTGGTCTGGACTTGATAGAAATTTGGGAAGATGAATTCATAGATAATATTTCAAACTCTATGAAAATAGTATATGCCTAGAGAAACATATACATATACTAGGAGAAGACAAAGAAAGAAAGAACACCTCAAAGTGTTCAACTTAGAAGAGAAACCAGCAAAGAAAGCTGAGAAGGCACACAGTGGGCAGGGTTTGGTGGGGAATCAATAAAGAAAAGTATTTCAGAGAAGAATAGAGTACTAACTATATCTGATGCTACTGAGAGAATAAGAAAGGTAAGAACAGAAAGTTTATCACTGGATTTTTGCATTATGAAGGTCAATGATGAGCTCAACAGTAAAGATTTTGGTGGTATGGTAGATAGGTATGAAATCTCTCAAGGGTTTCTAAGAACTGGAGACATTGAAGTGGGATGTAATATAATATGCCAGTAGTCCCACCCACTCTGGAGGCTTAGTTGGGAGGATGCTGGAGCCTWGGAGTTCAAGACCAGCCTGAACAATATGATTGGGAGATCCTGTCTCCAAAGAAAAAAAATGGAGTTATGGACTATAAATTGTGCCATTAAGGAGTCTTCATTGTAAGGGAGGCCAGGAAATGAGGTTATATTTACTAGGGCAAAGAACTGTCAAAAGACTGTTTTGTGTTTAATATAGAAGAAACTTACGTATGCCAGTGTGACTGATCTAGTAGAGAGCCAGGTGATGGTGCAAATGAGTGAAGGTGGAATTGGTGGAGCCACATCTTTGAGTTGGTGAGAGGGGTCAAAATCTGGTGCTTTGGTCAAGGACAATACCAGGAGGGCAGTAGTGTTGGTGGCATAGGTACTGAAGCCAGGTGTTTATGGTATGGGAGCCTCTAATTTCTTTTATGTATAAAGAGTCCTCTAAAATTTCCTGAAAAAATTTTTATAATTACCATCTAGAAAGATTTATCATTGTTTTTGGAACATAGATTAAATATTTTAAAACTATATAGAAATAATGTAGATCCTATTAAAAACATAGGCAGAAATAGTGTAAAAAAATCTGAAAGGAACGATTGAGGGTAGCCATTGGTCCTGCTGGTTATAAACCTATAAAATTGTAGTAACTAAAGCAGCATGTTACTGTCACATGAATACTCAAACAAATATACAAGATTATGCCCTGTTGATTAGAAAATTTATTATGTGATAAAGATGGTGCTCAAATCAGACAGAGAGCAGCCATCTGAAAACACAATTGAGATTAAAGCCCAAACTTTACATCAGAATAAATTTTAGATGGTCAGATATTTAAATGCAAGAAATGAAGCCATAAAAATTCTAAAATGAGGGCTGGGGTTGTGGCCCAGTGGTAGAGTGCTTGCCTAGCGTGTGTGAGGCACTGGGTTCAATCCTAAGCACCACATAAAAAAAAAATAAATAAAAGGCATTGTGTCYGACTACAACTAAAAWAATAATAATAATARTAATTCTAAAATGAACCATGAGTTAGTTTTTTAAAAATAATTAACATATGCCCTAAAGGAAATAAAAGATTCACATGAATTTGACAGCATTAAAAAATTTTGCAGTTGGCAAAATTTGATAAATGATGAATTGGGACTGAATATGTGGGAAGTATATCACAGTAGATATATACACTTATAAATGAACATGAAGGAATGTGACAATGTATTCATATATGTGAATATTAAAAAGACTAACAACCCAATAGAAAAATGGGCTAAGATGGGGCACATAGTTCTCACAAAAAATTAAATTATGCATATATAAATATATTTAACCTTAGTAAGTATAAAGAGTGAAAATTAAAGCGTACAGATAAAATTATGTAACCTATTAGACTGGCAAAAAAAGAAAAATCTAAGCCAGGTGTGGGTGGCATGTGCTTGTAGACCCAGCTACATGTAAGGCTGAAGCAGGAGGATCTCATGAGTCCAGGAGTTTGAGGCCAGACTGGGCCACACATAAGATTGCATCTTACTGAAAAAAGAGAAAAATGTGATTATGTTCTGTACTGTCAGGCATGTTTGGAAACATTTTCACACTTTGGTCATGAGCATGTCAGTGTTGGTGAATTAATTTTACTTGAAAAAGTCCCTTTTTTCTTAGTTTTTCTTTTTATTCTTCTATCCTCCTTTTTCTCTTTGTCTTTGCTCTTTCTTCCTTTCTCTCTTCTCTCTTCTTCTTTAACTCTCCCTTTTCTGTATATATGTAGGATGCACTTGCAGCCTTGGAAACTCCAGGAGGTCCCAGCCAACAGAAAAGGAAACTGAGTACACCACTCTCAGAAGTCATTGTCAGAAACTTGAAACTCGCTTTGGCAAATAGTTCTCGCAATTCAGTTGCTCTTTCTGCCAGCCCTCAACTGAAGGATGCCCAATCAAAGAAGGTAGACTTAGTTTTCTTATCAACTAGAAGTTTTAAACTAAAATGTTTAGAATAATAGTGGCTGATATTTTCTTTTATCTTTTACATATAGGAAGACACTCCAAAACCCCTTCACAAAGTTGTGGTGTATGTTAGTAAAAAGCTCAATAAGAAGCAGAATGAACTAAATGGAATTGCTGCCTCCCTAGGAGCAGATTACAGGTAGTTGCCCATCTTTGTTTTTGGTGATGACATGGACTGTGTTTATGAGGGATTCTAAAAGTTATCATGAGTATTTACAAGAAAATGTTTATTTCACCTTTCAGTCACATTTACAAAATGACTTTCAAATTTCCACATCTTTTGAAAATATCATCTCACATATCAATTCATTCTTCCATGTATATATATTTTTAAATTTTGATTTGTTATATATGACAACAGGATGCATCATGATTCATATTATACATATAGAGCACAATTTCTCATATCTCTGGTTGTACACAAAATAGAGTCACATCCTTCAGGTCTTCATACATGTACTTAGGGTAATGATATGAACTCCAGATAGGGCAAAGGGGAAAAGGGAGGGAGGGGAAGGAGGGGTATAGGGGTAGAAAAAACTATAGCATCCATGTATGTTTTTTAGAGATATTAGATAAATTTTTCAGAACCTGTTTTGTGTCACTTATAATAGTAATAGAAACTCGGGATACATGAATGATCAATACAGTTTAAAAGAATTCCTACTTTCAAGCCAGGCTACATAGCGCACACCTGTAATCCTAGCGGCTCCAGAGGATGAGGCAATAGGATTGCAAATTTAAAGCCAGCCTCAGCAATTGGGCGCTCAGCAACTCAGTGAGACCCTGTCTCTAAATAAAATACAAAATAGGGTTAGGGTTGGCTCAGTGGTCAAGAGCCCCTGAGTTCAATCCCTGGTACCCCCGCCCCCCGCTTTGTATCTTTTTTTCCTTCTTAAGAGATAGGTTCTTGGGCTGGCATGTACCTCAGTTGTGGAGTGCTTGCCCACCATGGAGGAGGCTTGGGTTCAAACCCAGCAATGCAAAAAAACACAGAGAGAGACTTATTATGTTGTCCTGGCTTGCCTCAAACTCTGGGCTCAAGTGATCCTCCTGTGTCAGTCACCCCTGTAGCTGGGGCTGAGGCCTGGCTAATTGGTGTCATTTTTAGGAATTTGGAGACTAAGCTGTCAGATGTGCCTTCAACCTAAAAGTCTTAGGCTAGAGATAGGTCCCAAGTACAAATAACCTGAGTGTCAGGGACTAAGAGACTCTTAACTGTCCCAGCTACTGTTGTGCTGGCTTTGTTGATCATTTCTGTTCATCCACTCATGGGTAGTGGTTGGTTTTATAAATGACAAATAATTTGAGGAATATGATTATTAGTTTTATCTTCTTCTTTTAATTAGTTTCCCATTTGATAAAGAATTAAGTCAGGAGAATATAAAAATAAAATTTACCTGTAATAGGGGCYTGGGGTTGTAGCTCAATGGTAGAGCACTTGCCTAGTACGTGTGAGGCACTGAGTTCAATTCTCAGCACCRTGTAAAAATAAATAAATAAATAAAAGTATTGTGTCCACCTACAACTAAAATTTTTTTTTWAAATTTATCTGTAATAGTTATAAGCTTCTTAGTATTTAATACATCTTGTGAAATAGAACTTTCTTGTTTATYATTTGTATTATCTATTATGTTGTTCACCTGTTGATATATTTTTATTTTATAAGATTTGAGATGTTAGGCCCTCTCAGTATTAAAAAAATGATAAAATTTATTGCTGAAATTCCTAAACAGAATTTAACTGTTCAGTTGTATTAATTTTAGTTAAAACAGCAGAAAATAACTTATTTATATAGAGAGCATAACTTTTTATATATAAAACATTCTAGATTTCATCTAATTATAAACAACCAATTTTGCCTATATGATTTTGTGGAGACATTACAAATCATACAGAATATGGAATAATTGTGTACGCAACTGTTCATCAGAATTCTAGTATCCCTGCACCTGTTCCTTATCCCCCATAAAATACTAGCACCCTCCAGCATATGAATATATTATTGTTGTTACAACCAAAGTTTTTCTTCATACCTCTTAAAGTAGCACCTGCTGACAGGTCCCAAGTACAAATAGCATGAGTGTCAGTGGAAATACTGGTCTAGACCAAGGGTCAGTGACCCATCATCTGGGTTTTTGTAGTAAAGCTTCATTGAAGCATAGCAATGCCTGTTCATTTGTAAGTGGTCATTGACTGCTTTCACATAACAAGGCAAGAGTTGGAGTAGTTGCAAAAGACATTTGCCTGTAGAGCGTAAAGTGTTTACCATCTGGCCTGTTAAAAAAAAAAAAAACGATAGGAACTATCTATAGCTACTTGTTTTTTCTTAAAGGGCCTCTGAGGACTAAAACTCGTAGTTTCTATATTATCACAGTGGAGTTGAATGGTAAACCCAAGATGATTGATTGTGTTTTTTCTGAATTATCTTGATAGTTTATTTAAATATTTTTATTTTACTGTTTCTCCCTCTGCTGACATACTAGTGATTAAATAGTGGTCCTTATCCATGCTAGGCAAGCATTATACCTAAGCTACACCCCCCCAACCCTTTTTAAAATTTTATTTTGAGACACAATTTGCTAAATTTCCAGGCTGGCCTCCAGCTTGTRATCCTTCTGCCTCAGCCTCCCAAGTAGCTGAGATTACAATTGTATGCCATTATGCCCAGCTAAATATTTTTAAATATATATAATTAATTACCACTAYAGCAGAATTAGAGGTTGTTGCTAGGAGCACTTACAATTGAATTAGGGAAGATGTGTGTCTGTGATCGGTAGGAAAGAGAGATACTTATCATTTAGAGAGAAATACTACTTAATTTGCTTAACTTGGCTATTTTAAAAGATTCAGAGATTTCTTATTTAGGAAATGGAAAATATCAAGCATCCATGAAAAGGATTTATTTTGGTGATTGTATTTAGAAACCCAATTTGTATTTTCTTCTCTTTGGTTTTTACTTAAGCTTTTGAAAGATGACTGTTTTGTAGATTTTCCCAGATTAAGAGAATCAGGAGATTTTAGTGTGGCACAAGAGTTAAGAACAAGGATTTTGAAGTCAAACCTGACTCTACCACTTATTGAATGTTCTTGGACAAGTTATTTTACTGTGTTCCTCCAGTGTTTTAGGATTTTTGAGAAGTAGGAAGAGTATATCATCTGTTGAGGCATAAAGCAAATACACAGTGAAGAGTGAAGTCGAACAACTGGAAGACAGACTTGGGTGTTTTGCAACATTTTATGAATTTGAAAATACCTTTATGGCTACTATAAAGTGATACATATTATGACAACAAAATTGAAACAATTAGAAAAGTATAGACTAATATATTTTATTTCTAGTACTAGGGATTGAACCTGAAGCACTTTACCACTGTGCTACATCCCTAGTCCTCATTTTTTATTTTGAGATGGGTCTCCCTAAGTTGTTAAGGCTGCCCTCAAACTTGGGATCTTCCTGCCTCAACCTCCTGTGTTGCTGGGGTTATAGGTGTGTACCACCACACCCAGCATACAGTAAAATTTTAAAGGATRTTCTTCTAAACATCTCTCCATATTTATATAGCTAGAGATATATAAAATTTGTTAAAAATTAAAGTTTTAATGTTATTGCTTACTCTAGTTCCGAAAATTTTCTGCTGGATAGAATATTCTGTTCATAGTGAATAATGATCACCTCGAACTAATGGGATATTTCTTTTAGTTATTTGCTTTGTTGCATTTGATTGTTTCAGGTGGAGTTTTGATGACACGGTAACTCATTTCATCTATCAAGGCCGACCAAATGACAGTAATCGAGAGTATAAGTCTATAAAAGAAAGAGGAATACACATTGTTTCTGAGCACTGGCTTTTAGAAGTAAGCAATGCTTTATTGTATCCCTTCTCTGTTAATTGAAAATGTTTATAGCCTGGCACTGTGGCTCATGCCTATGATCCCAACAACTTGGAAGTTTGGGATTGCAAATTCTAAGGAGGATTGCAAGTTCTAGGGAAGTCTGAGCAACTTAGCAAGACTCTGTCTCATAATAAAAAGTGCTGAGGATATAGCTCCTGGTAAAGCATCTGTGGGTTCAATAACTACTCCCCCCCCCAAAAAAAAATGTATTTACAAACATTTCAGAGCACAAAACAGTTTCCATGTCTGTAAACAAGTTTGGTAATCTTGGTAAGCTGTGTGTGGCAGCATGTCATGGCACGAGCATGTGTTAGAGCAGAACCACTCACCTCGTAGCCAGAAAGTGAAAGAGAAGCCAGGCCRAGAGGTCCAGACCTGTAATCCCAGCGGTTCGAGAGGCTGAGACAGGAGGATGGCGAGTTCAAAGCCAGCCTCAGCAAAAATGAGGGGCTGAGCAACTCAAGTGAGACCCGGTCTCTAAATAAAATACAAAATAGGGCTGGGGATGTGGCTCAGTGGTTGAATGTCCCTGAGTTCTATCCCCAGTAGCCAAAAAAAGAGAAAGTAGAAGAAAAAGGAAGGAGTTGGAGTCCCACTCTCCCTTTTGAGGGCATATCCCTTACTCCCCACCAAAGACCTCCCATTAGGCCCCAGCTCTTAAAGTTTTCATCACTTCTCAATAGATCTAAGCTGGGGACCAAGCCTCTTAACACACCCACCTTTTGGGGACACTGAAGTCCAGACCACAATACATATTTCATCTCTTTGACATCAAAAACTTTTTTATTTTTATTTGATTTTTATTGCCTTATTATTTAACAAATCYTCGATGGGTACTCTTTCTATTCTGATTCTTTTCACTAGTTAAAAACAGTATGAATAAATTGAACCTGGTGGTACACACATGTAATCCCAGCTACCTGGGAGGCTGAGGCAGGAGGTTCACAGATTCTAGGCAAGCCTGGGCAACTTAGGAGTCCCCATCTCAAAAGATCAAAGGGGTTGAGGTATAACTCAGTGGTGGAGCACTTAACCTCCATGTGCAAGGCAAGGATAGAACAGAATCACTCTGCATGGATTCTGTTCCTAGGATTGCCCCTACTCCAAATGTGTATATGTGTGTGTGTGTGTGCGCGCGCGAGTGCACACTCGTGGGTGAATGAAAATTTTATAATAATTTGAGAGCAACTAATTTAACAGAGTAATACAATTTAGAACCCTCTTTTTCCTTTCCTTTCTTTGTATTCCCTGAAGTAATTGATACCTCAGCAAAAGCACAAAAATAGAATTAGATTTTATACTTTAGTGGCCATGACATTTAAAAAGGACAGTTTGGCTGGGGATAGCTCAGTTGGTAGAGGGTTTTTCTTTTTCACTGTAAACTCTTCCCTCCCACCCCTTCTTAAGGGGCACTTAACCACTGAGCTACATCCCCAGTCCTTTTTATTTTTTTATTTTGAAACAGGGTCTTACTAAGTTGCTGAGACTGGCCTTGAACTTGTGATCCTCCTGCCTCAACCTCCTAAATTGCTGAGATTACAGGCATGTACCACTGTGCCCAGCCATAAACTGCTTTCTTTTTAACTGTAATATTGTGAACTTTTACAGGCTGTATTGGTTGTTCTTTTCCTCCTTAACATCTTACCACAGGCTGTAWTGGTTGTTCTTTTCCTCCTTAACATCTTTCAGTCAATTCTGTTTCAAAACACTATTGTATTGCAGTGTGCCCAGGAATATAAGCGTCTTCCTGAATCTCTTTATCCATATACTTATAATCCCAAAATGAGCCTGGATATCAGTACCGTGCAAGATGGCAGACTCTGTAACAGCCGAGTGCCCTCAGCTGTCTCTGCAGCAGAGGATGAAGAGGTAGGCAATGTGCACAGTACATCCCACCCCAAGCTGTATATGTAATCATAGATTGCTATGGAACCTTATCCAGTGGCTTCATTTGAGCAATTATAATTTCTCTCTTTGAACAGCCAGATCATTTGCCTGTAGAAGAAAATGGTACAGAAAACATGACCACCAGTAATAAAGAATCAGCRCTGTCAGATGGAAATGAAAAGAATGATTCTAAAGGAGGTAAAGCTTTTTAAATTACAAAAAGAAAAGGTTAAAAATACATGTTTGACACAGTTGTTTTCTGTTACTGAATACTGGCAAACCATGTGTGTGTGTGAGTGTGTTTGAAGATTAAGTCAAGATTCTGTGCCATTTGATGAAGTTTAAGTGATTTAAGAGTGAGACTTGTGGAATGGAACCAGCTATTTTACAGAGTCACTGTGATATAATTGTTCCATTAAAGATAGGAAGAGTTGTTTGTTTTCCTTTCTTGTCCTGGGGATTGAACACAGGGACACTACCACTGAACTACATCCCCAGCCCTTCTTGTTATTTAGTTGGCGACAGGGTCTCACTAAGTTGCCGAGGCTGGCCTTAAACTTGGAATCCTSTCATCTCAGCTTCCACAGTTGCTGGGATTACAGGCAATTGATGGTTTTTTAAAAATTTGTGCTTTATCAGAAGCAGTGTCATATACGTATAATCCCAGTGACTCAGGAGACTGAGGCAGGAGGATCACAAATTTGAGGCTAGCTTCAACAATTTAGCAAGGCCCTAAGCAACTTAGACCTTATCTTTAAAAAATAAAAAGTAGTATGGGCTGGGGATRTGGCTCAAGCGGTAGCGCRCTCGCCGGGCATGCGTGCGACCCGGGTTCGATCCTCAGCACCACATACAAACAAAGATGTTGTGTCCGCCGAAAACTGAAAGAAATAAATATTAAAAAAACTCTCTCTCTCTCACTCTCTCTCTCTCTCTCTCCTCCTCCTCTCTCTTTAAAAAAAAATAAAAATAAAAATAAAAAGTAGTGGGAATATAGTTCAGTGGTAAAGCATCTCAAGTTCAGTCCCCAGTAACCCCCCAAAAATGCTCTTTGGTTCAAGTTTTTTCAGTGATTTCCGAACAGTTTTATTACATGTACAGTATACTTGACGTATGATTTTAAAGGTCTGGAAGAGTTTATCCTGCCCTTGTTTCCCTTTGTTACCAGTTTTGGTCTGTTTGTTTTTTGATACTGGGATTTAAACTCACTCAAACACTGAGTCATATCCCCAGCCCTAGTTTGTATTTTATTTAGAGACAAGGTCTCATTGAGTTGCTTAGCCCCTCGCCACTGCGATTATAGGCGTGTGCCCCGTGCACGGCTTGGTWCTAGTTTCTTATGTATTCTTCTAGTGCTGTTTTCTGCATGCATATACAATTATAAATATATATATRTRTGTGTGTGTGTGTTTTCTTTCTCTCACTTTTTAAAATGCGTAATTTTGGACTATTCCACATGCTTTTTTTTTTTTGTTTAATGGTTCACCTTAGGGCCTTGTTATCTTAGTACAGGTATATCTTGGAGATATTGCAGGCTTGGCTCCAGACTCCTGCAATAACCAAATGTTACAATAAAGTGAGCCAAATGGACTTTTTTGTTTCTCAGTGCTTATGAAAGTTATGTTTACATTATATTGAAATCTGTAAACTGTGCAAAAGCATTATGTCTTTTAAAAAACAATGTGTTGGGGCTGGGGCTGTAGCTCAGCAGCAGAGCACTTGCCTAGCATGTGTGAGGCACTAGGTTTGATCCTCAGTACCACATAAAAATAAGCAAATAAAATTAAAGGCATTCTGTCCATCCACAACTGCAAAAAAATTAAAAAACAAAAACAGTGTATACTCTATAATTTAAAAATACATTATTGCAAAAAATGCTACTGATCATCTGAATCTTTGGCAAGATATAATCTTGTTGAGAGAAGGTCTTCCCTCTGATGATGGCTGCTGACTGCTCTGGATGGTGGTTGCTAAAGCTCTGGTTGGCTCTGGCAATCTCTTAAAATAACACAGCARTGAAGTTTGCCATAATGATTTTTTTGTTTGTTTTTGTTTTTTGTTTTGTTTCATGAAATATCTCTCTGTAACATGATGCTTTTGATTCCTTTTTACCCAGAGTAGAACTTCTTCAGAACTGGAGCCAGTCTTCCCAATGTTCACATCACCAGAGTAGATTTCATCTCAGGAAGCTACTTCTTTGATCATTCATGAGAAGCAACTCCTCATCCATTAAAGTTTTATAATAAGATCATAGCAATTCAGACCCATCTTTAGTCTCCACTTCTAATTCTGGTTCTTTCTGGATCTAGACAGAATAYTGTGGGATGTGATAGATAGGGAAATTGACCTTGACTGGTGTACTTGTTTGTTTCAAGTTCTCACACAGACCTTGGAGATGAGAGAAAATTTCCAAAAGCAACTGCAGGAGATCATGTCTGCCACCTCCATCGTGAAACCCCAGGGACAGAGAACTTCCCTTTCAAGAAGTGGCTGTAACAGTGCCTCCTCAACCCCTGACAGCACGCGCTCCGCTCGAAGTGGACGAAGTAGAGTCCTAGAGGCGCTGAGGTGTGTGCCTGTCATTGAGGGTACCTGGTGACTCATGGAAATGAGTTAAGCTAATTTTGCCTTTTTGTTTTAAAATTAGTGATAAAGCAAAAGTTTAGAATATCAAGACCAATAAAAGAATTGTATTTCTAGGCCTGTTTATCACAAATGTGTCATATTCTGTTATCTGTTGGCTTTGGCTTCTGCTGCCTAGGTTTTTCTCCTTCCTTCCTAGTGTTCCCCTCTTTCCCTTCCTCACTCGAAGCAAGAATTGAGAATTCTTGAAGGCAGGAAGCCAGCACAGAGGTTAGTCCCAGCAAGCACTGGCTTCAGGGAGACCACGATTAATGCTTTTTATTGCCTCCCCTAAGACAGAAATGATTTTAAATTCAGTTTGAAAGTGGAATCACTAGGCAGTCAGTCTCCTCTTTAGTATTAAACAGTATTAAATGTTTTCTGTTGGTTGGTTTTGATTTGGGGTTTTTGTTTTGTTTCGTTTTGCTTTTTGGTGGTAGTCCTGGGATCAAATCCAGGGCTTCATCATTTATGTCACACAATCATTCTACCATTGATCTACACCTCTAGCCCTAAATAGTTATTTCTTATTAGAGCTTTGTGTGTGCCGTGGGGAATGGGTACCAGTGCATTGAACCCAGGGATGCTTAACCACTAAGCCACATCCCTGCTCCCTTTTAAAAATTTTTTTTGGATTTTTTATTTGGGTCTTCCGAAGTTGCTTAGTCTTTGCTAATTTGCTGAGGCTGGCTTTGAACTTGCAATCCTCCTGCCTTAGCCTCCTGAGCTGCTGGGCTTACAGGTGTGAGCCACCATGCCCAGCTCTTTATC